CCTTCTGTCTTCCTCCCCCTCCTCTCTCTCCCTCCGCCTCTTCGCTCCCCCTCCTCTCTCTCTCCCCTGGGCCCGGGAGGGGTGAGTGCTTCCGGGCGGGGGGCGGTGTTCTCCGGCCGTGCTGCGCCGGGAGTCTGGGACTTCGGTGGGCGGTCCCCGGCGTTGCAGCGCGAGGTCTCTGTGGGTAATCCTCCTGGTTCCAGAGGTTTCGAGGCTGGATGGGGGTGCTGAGAAAGAAATATGTCAAAAAAATGAGTAAAGCGTGTGGGGCCGTCGGGATCTGGGCGTTTGTCTGCAACCGACGCCCGCTGCAGAGAGCGACCCTGGAGAGGCGCTAGGGCGGGGGGCGGGGTCGGGGCGTGGGGCGGGAGCTTCGCAGCCTCCAAGGGGCTCGCGAGGAGCTGGGGGGAAGGGGCGGCGGGTGCTGGAGCCGGGGCGAGCCTGTGGGTCCGGAGCTGCGGCCGAGGTTTGCGTTTCGGCCCAGAGGAGTGGACTTGAAAGCGCGCTGTGGGCTGTAGGAGGCCTTAGCCAGGAGCGAGTCCTGTCCTGCGTCTAGCAGTTAAGCTTGCTAAAGATTAGGAAATCGGAACGTAACGTGATTCTTCCATGTGAATACACTTCGATTTTACAGTTTCACGCGCTTTTGCAGATTGCAGTCCGAGATTGGGAGTTGTGAGGGCAGTTTCCACCTTGAGTGGCATTTTTCGGTGGTAAAACCAACAGCTCCTCGGAGATTGTAGGGGTATGTTAAGCAGCAACTCAAAAATTATTTTATCGGTAATGATATTGGGAAGCGTTATGCTTAGAAGAACTAAAATCAGAGGTAAAACGTTTCTGTTAGGATCGGAGAGAGAATCTTGCTAATGGAATTGTGTGCCTTTAAGAAAAGATGTCCTGGTTGAAGCCGGCCTTCTACAGGGGAATGTCCTGTTGCAGTTCTGGGTCGGTAGTGGCCGGATGGGGACCTGACGGCGCCCAAGATCCGTTTCTACTTTGGACGAAGTGGGGAATGCCCCACTCTTCCTCTCCCTCCTCCTTTCCTTTTCCCCTTCCATCCCTCCTTCCCTCTTTCTTCTTCCCCCCTCTGGTATTTTTGAACAAAGCTGAAGGAGTCAAGTTTAAACCATCGTTAACTAACTTTGCCTAATTTGTTAAAGGAAGAAATTGCTTTTTTTTACACTACATATGGCTCTGATTAATCTTTTAAGATGTTGGTTGCTTAGTGTGAAAACTGTTGAATCACATCTATGGTATTCACCGATTAGAAGTTGAGCTGTAGATGGGCAGTGAAAAATACTTCTTTGAAAATTCAGGTGGCGGCTGCTGCAGTGCCAGTTGGCAGTGTGCCAGCAAGGAGCTCTTAAGCCCTCCTCGCTTTTTCCTCTGACTCGGGGGACTTGAAATTCCTCTATCACTTCATGTACGGTGTAACTGCATTTCTAGCACTGTCTAGTGGCCCAGTTAAGGAAGAGTTGGTTTGAGAAATATTGAACAATCTGCGTAGGATTCTCATCAGATCTGTAAGCTTAGGACATTTAATTAAAAACTAGTATTTGTAGAGACAGAGGCTTGCTCTGTTACCCAGGCTGAAGTGCAGTGGTCGTCTGATCAGAGATCACTGCAGCCTCAGACTCCTGTACTCCAGCCTTTCCTGAGTAGTTGGGACTGCAGGCGCCTGCCACCATGCCCAGCCAGTATTTTTTTACTTTTTTTTTTTTTTCTTTTGAGACGGAGTTTCGCTCTTGTTACCCAGGCTGGAGTGCAATGGCGCGATCTCTGCTCACCGCAACCTCCGCCTCCTGGGTTCAGGCAATTCTCC